ACTCCATTAATCACTTAGAATGAGGAATCAGATCACATGGTACACACTTTCAAATAAACTCCATTAATCACTTAGAATGAGGAATCAAATCACATGGTACACACTTTCAAATAAACTCCATTAATCACTTAGAATGAGGAATCAGATCGCATGGTACACACTTTCAAATAAACTCCATTAATCACTTAGAATGAGGAATCAGATCACATGGTACACACTTTTATATAAACTGCACTAATAACTTAGAATGGGGAATCAGATCACATGGTACACACTTTCATATAAACTCCACTAATCACTTAGAATGAAGAGTCAGATCATATGGTACACACTTTTATATAAACTGTACTAACAACTTAGAATGAGGAGTCAGATCATATGGTACACACTTTCATATAAACTCCACTAATCATTTACAATGATGAATCAGCTTTCAACATATATCTAGAGAATTTTTTACATTTTCTAGGCAGGTAAAAAAAAAAAACATATGAAAATCAATAGAATATTTGTTTGCTCTATAAATAATTATTATTCTTAATTACGTGATAATCAAGCATTATACAAACCAGACATCTGTATTTTACAAAATATCCATTTCATCTCCACAGTTAATGTAAAACAATAAATATGTGTTGGAATTCAGAAACTACTTTAAAATGAACTGCTATACTATTAAGTATTCATAGTTGGTACTTTTAATTTATACATCTAGCATTAATTCTGAGACCAAAAATAACAAGAAACAGAAAACATTTTACTATTTTACAGCAGTGTTTTTTACACTTACCTGATGCAACAGTTCTAAAATATCAAGATTTTTTCCTAGTTCCAATATTATATTTTTCCACTCATCTGATGTAAGTTTACAGAGATCATTAATGAGAAGTTTAAAATCTCCCTCTTCAGGTGGCAAGAGAAGTTTTCTGAGTCTGTCTCCTTTACAGACAAAAGCAGGCACTGACAAACGTCCTCTTGCAAACAGCTGGAAGAAGAGTAGCAATGTAACTAGTTATTGACAATCAACTATATCCTGTTTAATAATTATTCAATCAATTTCATAAGAAAGCTGAAACCTTCATACCTTGGTTAACTATCATATCACAAGCTTCATAAAGAAACAGTAACCTTCATACTATGCTTAATTATCATATCACAAGCTTCATAAAGAAACAGTAACCTTCATACCATGGTTAAATGTCATACCACAAGTTTTACAAAGAAACTGTAACATTCATACTATGCTTAACTATCATATCACAATCTTCATAAAGAAACAGTAACCTTCATACTATGGTTAACTATCATACCACAAGCTTCTTTCATACCTTGGTTAACAAAAATACCACAAGCTTCATAAAGAAACTGTAACCTTCATATCATGGTTAACTATAATATCATCAGGAACTAAGCAAAACCTATTTATAACATCTACATTGTTGGGGTTCATTAAAAAGTTGATACGTACCTGAGGTATTCCCCCTATTCTGATTCTACTTTTCAACAAGGTGTCCACTGTATCTTTTGTCAATCCATATGACTGGTTAAGCACAGATTCTGAAACTTCACTCACATCTCTGAGGATGTTGCTCATGTTTATTTCTCCTTTAAAAACATTCATTAATGTAGAATCATTTAAAACAACATTATTCATGTGAACATCATGTGAAGTAATACATTATAAGACTGAGTTAATTGTGGTATTATTCAGTAGAATTCCATAAACCTAATGTGACAAAAATGTCTTCTAGTATACAGAATTACATATATATAAAACTTTAATAAAGTGACACAATGACTTCTGGTATACACATTCATCTCAAACACAGACTGTAACAGACTAAATTTCTAAAGATTGTGTTATCTCAGTAGGTTTAATCTCAAACACAGACTGTAACAGACTTTTTTTCCATAGATTGTGTTACCTCAGTCAGTTTAATCTCAAACACAGACTGTAATGACTAACTTTCCATAGATTGTGTTACCTCAGTAGATTTAATCTCAAACACAGACTGTAACAGACTAACTTTTCATAGATTGTGTTACCTCAGTAGATTTAATCTCAAACACACACTGTAACGAACTAACTTTCCATAGATTGTGTTACCTCAGTAGATTTAATCTCAAACACAGACTGTAACAGACTAACGTTCTATAGATTGTGTTACCTCAGTCAGTTTAATCTCAAAAACAGACTGTAAAAGACTTTTTTCTATAGATTGTGTTACCTCATTCAGTTTAATCTCAAACACAGACTGTAAAAGACTTTTTTTCTATAGATTGTGTTACCTCATTCAGTTTAATCTCTAAGAAAGACAGCAACACCCTACCTTTCCCAGATTCTGTTACACATATATGTGTATATATGAAATAAAAGAAATGATTAAAGTTAGCAGTTACACTTCAATAATGTTGTTCTTGGTTTAATTAAAATAAAATACTGCTAACTACATTTAATTATTCAGCCAATAATAAAACAAAAGATAAAGAGTACCTTTACTATTTTCATTGAGAATATTACAGTTTATATATCACATGCCCTCGTTTTGATCAATAATGACAATTTAATTAATATAGAACTGATTGGGACTAGAAAATAATAATTTGGTATAGTTTTCTCTTATATTTTTAACATGTTAAATTCATTACAAGCTCAGTTCCTCTCCAGTGTTTCATTTAAAAATTTATTTTTTCTTCAAAATCTTTCCTTACCTTTTAAGGAAGAATCTGGGTCAGTTAATCTCTTCACAAATAAAGTTAAAGACTTTAAATTAGTTGAAAGTTTATCAAACATTTCCCAATTTTTAGATTCAATTTGTTTCTTGAAGATATTTCCCACGTCAGAAACAGCTCTCATAACTCTGCAAGATATCAATGTTAAAAAGTAAAAACCTGGTACTCAGCTTGCACTTATTAAATTTCAATAATTTTAGAAAAAACATAAACCTGAACCTATAATTTTGAGAAAAAAAAAGAGATTTATTTATTTCCTAAACATTTTAGTACTTATTAAAACCTAATATTTTACTATGTACATTACAAGTGTCCTCTAGTTATCTCAGAGTAAGTATTAACTTTATAATATAGTTGATGCCCTAGTTAACAGCTGAAGTTCGGTTTGTAGTTAAATTTGAGAAGTGTATAAAGAATTAAAGGATTGAGTTGAACATGTATGATGGCAATAACATAAGAATACAAATTGCTTAATTCTTTGAAATATTTCAAAAGTAAAACATTGAGCATAAAACTTTTTAACAACTATGGTTTCCCCTGGAATACAACTTGTATTCATCCTTAAAATAACAAACAAGAGAAATAAATGAATAAAGTTATCTCATCTATAATATCTAGAGTGGAGACTTTAGTGCAGCTATTAGGCAAAGGCTTCTGGTGGGAATTACAATAAAAGGAAGTATTACTATTAGGATGTGCTGTAAAAGATAGTGTAGCTATTAGGCAAAGGCTTCTGGTGGGAATTACAATAAAAGGAAGTATTACTATTAGGATGTGCTGTAAAAGATAGTGTAGCTATTAGACAAAGGCTTCTGGCGGGAATTACAATAAAAGGAAGTATTACTATTAGGATGTGCTGTAAAAGATAGTGTAGCTATTATGCAAAGGCTTCTGGCAGGAATTACAATAAAAGGAAGTATTACTAAAGGACATAGAAATGAAGCTTGGGAAACATTTTTATTTAAGCAACCACAAAATTAAACCATAAGGAAGTAGGTAAATCCAATAGTCCTCTATAATTAGATTGCTACATACATACATAAGTTTGTTATTCAGTAAAAACATAAATTCCTGATTTCAACAACATAAAAGCTATGTCAGATATACTCTGGAAATATTTTTATTAGTTCCTTTAGGTAAGAACTTACATTTTTAACAAGCAGACACAAAACAAACTAAAAAAACATGCTATACACTTGGCTGCTAAACATTAACTGCAAAAAAAAAACCCATCCAAAATTGCATACAACTGTTTTTTATTACTTAGCATATAAAGGTTAAATGTTTCATGTTTAATTCAATACATATTCACTTACATGGAAGTGTTGAATGTTGGCACCTCACTTGGAGACTGACCATTCACGACTTGTGAATAGCAAGTATTGTTAAATGTACAGATTGTGCTTTTTAAAAACGGTAATACTCCTGCAGATGGCAAGGCCTTCTCATCAAAATGGCCTTCAAATATAAAAGATAAATGTAAGTTGTAACTGCACACAATCAAGACTCAAAAGTGGAAGACTACAAATAAAAAATATGCTTAAGACTTAAATTACATGTACAATAGCTTTCACCTAACCTTCCTTTCGTTGTAATTAAAAAATGAGTTTTAATGTTTTAAATTGTGTTACTTGAATAATATAACGCTACTCACATTTGTTCTGATACTTCAATACCATATGTATAACTCATCATTATACTTGAATAATACAGGGTAGTCCCAAATTATATTTCCTATTTTACAATTGAACAATTAAATAGTTATAGATAAACAACCACGCAGTTTTCAATATCTTGTAGCCCAACCCAAACAACTTTTTTTTTCCACTCCAGTGAGATGTCAACTGTGCAAGAAAAGGCTCAATGCGATGGATTGGTCTAGGTGAACCAATTATGGTGTCTTCGCATTTTACAGACATCATTCCACTAGACTTCTTTTGGGGGGGGGATGTTGAGGACATCATGTATCACAAGCCTATAGCAAACATCGTGAAACTAAAGGCCAGGATAACCAATGCCATCATGTCAATAAAAACTGTTTGAGTTGAGATACAAGATGTTGAAAATTGCATGGTTGTATTTCCTTAGTTAGTTAATTATTAAGTTTTAAAATAGGAAAGATAATTTTGGACTACCCTGTATATCTGTACTTACATTCATTCTTATATTTCAATAATATATTTATATTTGCATTCATTGTTATACTTGAATAATATATCTATACTTCCATATTTTCTTATATTTTAACAATAAATTTATACTCACACTCATTGCTGTATTTGAATAGCATATATCTCTACTCCCATTCATTCTGATATCTTAATAATATAATTATACTTGACTTGTAGTAGTTATTATACTTCAATAATATATCTTCCCACATTCATTCGTAGATTTTAAATAATATATTTATACTCACATTCATCATTATATTTGAATAATACATCTATACTCTCATTCTTATATTTTAATAATATGTTTATATTTGAATTTATTGTTATAATTAAATAGTATATATATATATATATATATAT